AGATTTGGGGGAGGGGGGAGGAGGCTGGGAAGGGATGTGAAGGGTAAACAAAGGAGGAGGCTGCAATGCTTGGTAAGAAATGTACGCATTATCCTGCCCGTGTAATTGTAACCCCTCTGTACAGTATGTTCACAAATAAAATAAAATTATATTAAAAAAAAGAAAAAGAAAAAACTCTTAATCATGTTGCAATAACATACTATAATCCATTACCAGGCACAGAATGGCTCTCTTCCCAATACTAATATTAAAAAAAAAAAAAAACACAATTGCTCCTTCTACCCAACTCCTATTTAATGACTTGCAACTATAGTAACTACAATAAGCTAACATATATAAACTAGTGATAAATTTTATTTGTAGTTTTAAGTCATGAAACCATTTGTTTTCTAGCCTCTCTTTTTTCAAGACACATTGAATTTCATGTCAACACAGACTCCCAGATAATTCACAGCAATAACTTCATGGATAAAATATGAAAAGATGTCACAAAATAACACTAAATTGGCTAAATTTCACTAAATTTCTAATAACACTAAATTTCAGATTCTAAAACATTTGCCAACAATCATCAACAGTAGTACAATGGCTATGCATAGGAGGACAAAGAAGTATATGGCATAGTTCTATCTGCAGCAGCTGGCCAAGTAGTCAACACAAAATTCAAACTTTTTCAGAGAAGGAGGAACAAAAAATAAGTTAGAATACTGTCACAATATTTGCTACAAATATTGAATTAAATGTGTAAAGTGAGACAGCAGTATCAACACATTTATAGACAGAGTAGGGCTTAAGAGCTAAAAGCAAGGGATTTTCAACTACAGAAAACAAGTAAAGTTCTCTTTTAGTAAGTAGTCCAAAAACTAGTAAAGGTATGTTGTTTAATACAAATTAGACTAATATTTGCAGATTACTGAAAGAAAATTATATTGACTATTGAAACATTATTAGAAAGGAAAGTAGAGTGTGGCTAGGTGTAATGGCCCATGGCTATGATATGAGCTACTCAGCTCTGGGCTACACTTGACAAAAGTTAGCAAGCCTCAACAAAGAAACTGGGTATGGTGGCACACACATAATCCAAATTGGCAGTGGGCACAGGAAAGAGGATTGTTACCTACCTGTGGCTGATCCTGGGCAAAAAGCATAAGACCCTAACTGAAAAATAACTAAAAGCTAAAGGGGACTGGAAATAGGAATAAAGCCTACATTCAAAATTATAGGATAGAGTTGGGATTGTACAGGCTACCAAGGAACTGAGAGTTAAGTTTAAAAAGGCAATGAAAAAGTCCTTGAAGACTGAGTACAGGGCATTATTTCCATAACATTTTGGGGTGACAGTAGTGGGTCGAGGGAGTTTTTAACAGCCTGAAGAGCTCTGAGAAAGAGACTGATGATGTTACTTCAGGAATTCAGAAGCAATGCTAAGAATGTGAACTACCATCACAACTGTGGAAATTCAGACTACAGGTGTAACTCAAACGAACAAGTGCCTGTCTAGTAAGTGTTTAAAGTCTTCAGTTCAAACTCTAGTATGAGACAGACAGACAGACAAGCAGGCAGGCAGGCACGTGCACGCACACGCACGCACGCACGCACGCACGCACGCACGCACGCGCACACACACACACACATGAAAGAAAGTAAAGATGGAAGGCCTTGTGGCTCAAAGTGTTGGAGCTCTAGCCTTGAGCGAAAAAGCTCAAGGACAATACCTAGGTCCTGAGTTAAGCCCAGTGACAGACCAAAAAACCCCAAACCCTCTACTTACATTTAGCACAAAGGTTCAACTAATTTGTACAACAGAATATAAGCAGCATTTGTGCCTAGATACTACAAATACTTGAAACCATAAATCTAAATCTTCATAAATTAATAACTGCCTAATCCAGATCTGTTACTCTTCTTTAATAACTCCCATTTCTTGGATTATAGTACATTTTCTATTTAAGATAAACAGAATAGTTTAAGACCTAGTAGATAACTAAGTAACTAAATAACTTAGTAACTTAATAACAAAGCAATTACATGCTGGGATGCAGATTTCTTATTAGACAAATCTAAAGACTAAAAACAGTTGCAAAACCCAGAGTTACTATCAAACCCTTTATAAAGAAAGTATCATACTTTCTTTCCCAACAACCAACCAAATAATTTTTTTTTAAAGGATACTAAAATACTATGGTTAGTAACGGTTTCACAAGATTCTGGGTTACCTTTATTTTCTCTCTTCTCAAACAACAGAACAGACAATTTTCATCGAAAGTCCAACTAGAGATGTTTTCAGGTTCACAATCTGCAAAAAATATAATAGTAATTTAAAAACCAATTTTCAGAAAATAAATTATAATTGCAAAATATTGTTTTTAACAAAAACTTCACTAAGTAGGTGACAGATTTCCTATTTGTCTTCAAACTCTGTGGATCAAACTTAGGAGCTCATACATGGCAAATTCAATGCCTTATCACTGATCTCTACTGCCAATCATGTTTTAATTTTGCTCCTGAGGTTTGAATCCTGGGCTTCATGCATAAAAGGCAAGCACATTTCTACTACACTCTCACCCTCCTGTTTTAAAATTCTTAGCTCAACAAGAAAAAAAATCTGAAATCATAACTCAAAACTCAATTCCTAACCACTCTCATGCTTAATTAATACATGCTGCTTAAACATGTTAACAATATCCACTAAACATAAAAAGATGCTTACTTGGGGCTGGGAAGGTGGCTCAGTGGTAGAGCGCTTGCCTTGCATGCATGAGGCTCTGGGTTCGATTCCTCAGCACCACATAACCAGAAAAAAAAAGCCGGAAGTGGCGCTATGGCTCAAGTGGTAGAGTGTAACCTTGAGCTGAAGAGCTGAGGGACAGCGCCCAGGCCCAGAGTTAAGGCCCATGACCGGACCCAAAAAAAATAAAAAATAAAATAAAAAATAAAAAGATGCTTACTTGGATTTAACTTTAACCTCATGAAACCGAATAAAAAGGAGCTTAAAATCACACCAAGATAATCAAAAAGCTTTTGAAATACCAAAACTAATTTTAGTACCTTTAAATAAACTGAGATCTTTTAATAATGCAGGTCCAAACAGCCCTTCAAGAATACTTTCAAACCCTAAAAAGGATTAAAAAAATTGTATTACTACAATAATATTCACCATAATATTAATCAATATGTTACAGCGATGATGCTCTTAGTTCTCAAAGATAGGTCAAGGAATAAGAGTATCACTGACAAATCTAAAAGAGAACATTTTTGTTAATGATTAACAACACAATTCTAAGCACATACATTCAAGAACAAGAAAAACACACACTAGAAATAACCAAGAAAGGAATGAAAATTCAAATTCTCTTACTTACTCTCCTACAAAATTTTTACATAAACTCTCAAGTTCCACAATACTGTGAAATTCGGGAAATTATGTAATCACTTAATCACAATTAAAAAAAAAAAGAACCTGGGGAAGGTAGGGAGGGAAGAGATGGTAGGGGGAAAACAATGGAGGGGATAACAATGCTCAATAGGAAGTGTACTCATTACCTTACTCAAGTAACTGTAACCCTCTGTATAGTATCTTTACAATAAAAAATAAAAAAATATTTTAAAAAAAACATATTACAAAGAATCTATGAAGCCATATGGACCTTAGGAATAATGTCTGTGCCTGTGTGTACATGTGCACAAGCGCTGTTCCTAGAACTTGAACTCAGGGCTTAGACACTACCTGGGGTTTTTTTGCTCAAGGTTAGCCACTCTTCCACTGGAATCCACTTCTGACTTTTTAGTGCTTAGAGGTAAGAGTTTCGTGGACTTTCTTGCTTGGTCTGGCTTTGAACTGAGACCCTCAGAACTCAGCCTTCTGAGTAGCTAGGATTACAGAAGTGAGCATCTGACACCCAGCTTAGGATACCCAAATATTAAATCGTCATTTTCAACAGAGTAATCTCTATAGTTCATGTTATCCACATTGTAATTTAGAAAGTTATCACTAAGCTCTCTTTTGAAATATAAATTTTTCACTTATTTTTCAACAACTGCTTTTTTAAACCACGCATATTTCTTGCCATTAAAATTATTACAAGAACATGTTAACAAAATTAAATACAAATACAGCTAAGAGGTTACAGGTAGTCCTTATCCTAAATAGCAAATTTAATTTAATTTAATTTTTTTTTTGCTCGGTTGTGGGGCTTGAACTCTGGGCAGGGCGCTGTCCCTCAGTTCTTTAGCTCAAGGCAAGCGCTCTACCACTTGAGCCACAGTGCCACTGCTTATGTGGTGCTGAAAAAAATCGAACCCAGGGCCTCATGCATGCAAGGCAAGCACTCTACCACTGAGCCACTCTCCCAGCCCCAAGAGTGACTATTTTTAATACCTGTCATGTTTTAAAGTGTACTCTTTGACTTGAGTTCACAAGAAATTCAAACAAATTTCAAATTGTACGCTGAGAATAAAATTTTGGTTTTCTTCTGAGAATATCTCCCTATGTAGTCCAGATTAGCCCAAAACTCACTATACAAACCCCAGTTGGCTGCCACATTATAATGTATAGTTTTGGCACCTCCTGCCTCAGCTGTAGGAGACGAGGGGGAAGGAGGTGGGAGTGTCCTGGGGCTTGAACTCAGGGCCTGAGTGCTGTCCCTGAGCTTCTTTTGCTCAAGGTTAGACTTTCTTGCCAGGCTTGGTTTTGAACTGCAATCCTCAGATTTCAGCCTCCTGAGCAGCTGGTATTACAGGCCACTGGTGTCCACTTTTGCCTCAGCTTTGACAGTATAAGGATTACAGGTGTGAACCACCTTGCCTAGCTCTGTGTAAATTTTAAAGATTGTAAGTAGCAAAAAAATAAAGGTATTGTCATTAAGCTTTTCAACTTTTGAAAAAAAACTGTATATAGCAAGAAAAGCAGAAAGTAAAAAATAAAGCATTTATGATATATAGACTTTAAAATTACAAGAACAGGATCTGGAAAATAGAAAACAGAGAAACCAAATAACAGATTTAAAAAAAAAAAGTACTGTAGAAAAGACTAATTTCATTATAGATTCCTATCCCTGGGAAAGTAGAGTCAACAACATGGACAGTTTAAGCCAGCCTAAGTTACATAGCAAGTTCCAGGTTCAACTTGAGCTAAAAGTCAACTCTTGTTAGAAATTGATGGAAAGGCCAAGCACTGGTGACTTACTCCTGTAATCCTAGTTACATTCAAAAAGCTGAGATCTGAAGACTGCAGTTCAAATCCAGCCTGGGCAGGAAAGTCCATGACTCTTTATCTCCAATTAACCACCAAAAAACTGGAAGTGGTACTGTGGCTCAAAGTGTTAGAACCTTGAACAAAAGAGCTCAGGGACAGAGTCCAAGACCTGAGTTCAAAGCCACGAAACAAAACAAAAATTGATGAAAAGAAAAGGGAAGAAAACACAGCTGATTTAGCTTAAAATATTACCTGAAAAATCATTCCTCTTCTTCTCAAACTTAATTAAACCTTACAAGTATTACTGACTGGATACTGGCAAAGCTCTATTTTACTACGGTCTCTTCACTGGATGTTTTATTAATAAAAACATCACTCAATGTTATTAATAAAGAAATACTGAATTTAGCAGTTGCATAGCAACAGGGAATGCCTCATGTGCTATGCTTGACATTAAAAAAAAGGCAAATAAGGGAAGAACAAATATATTCAAAATTTGAGACATGATCTTACAGAAAAGCCATGAAGATTGATAACACAGACCACAGAAAAATAAACACTGAAAAGTCTTAATATGGTCAATGATGAGGGTTTTAAAGGTATCTTTAACACAATATAGTACATGTTCAAAAAATATTTTATTAGATTTGACTAATTTCTAAAATAATTCCTATCCAATACCGTAAGTCTCAGTATTTTCTTAAGTCTTTGTCTTTCATCTTCCCCAAATTAAAACTATCTCCTTGATAGTATCTCTTCAATCTATCAACCCTATTCATTTATTGAATAGAAATACGTATTCATGTATTCAACATAAATTAACTGAGAACCAGGGATAAAGGTAGACAATGAACAGAAAATGGTGGGCAGACATGGAGTGGTTTTATTTCATTTTTTGTTTTTTCAATTGTTCTTACCAGGCTATTTTTGCCAGGGCTCTATCTACCATCTGAGGTATAGTTCCATTTCTGAGTTTCTGATGGTTAACCGGAGAGCAGAGTCTCATGGAATTTCCTGCCTGGACTGGCTTAGACCCTCAACTGACTTCCTAAGTAGCTAGGATTAAAGGACTAAACTACCAGCCCCCAGCTAATCCTAACTTTTTTTTGGGGGGGGAGTGGGGGGAAGGTGGGCAAGGACCTGGGGTTGAACTTTGGGCCTGAGCATAGTCCCTGAGCTTCTTTTGCTTAAGACTAGTGCTCTACCACTGGAGCCAGAGTACAACTTCCAGCTTTTTCTGTGTATGTGGTGGTAAGGATTCAAACCCAAGGCTTCATGCATGCTAGGCAAGTACTCTACTACTAAACAACATTCCCAGCCCTAATTCTAACTTATTCTAGCTTGTTTAATAGTAAATGATTGAAAATAGAAAATGCTCTACATAAGCTGTATGCATTCATGACATGAAATGTTTCTTTTTTTCTGTATTTCTAGGCTGCACCATCTTCCAAATATTTTAAATGGTCAAAGATCTCAAAAAAAATCTCCATATGCATGATTTCTAACTTCTAGGATTGCATAATTGCATAACAGTCCCAAATTTGACTTTTGAAATTCTTTTTTTTTTGGGGGGGGGGGAGTCCAGTTGTGGGGCCTGAACTTTGGGCCTGGGCGCTTTTCCTCAGCTCTTCAGCTCAAGGCTAGCACTCTACCACTTGAACCACAGCGCCCCTTCCGGCTTTTTTATTTTTGCTTATGTGATGCTGAGGAATCAAACCCAGGGCCTCATGCATGCATGCAAGGCAAGTGCTCTACCACTGAGCCATACTCCCAGCCCCTGACTTTTGAAATTCTTAAGAGTAAAGGACACTGGGTCTTAAGACAAATTTATATGTTTGTAAGTTAAAATACTGATGTTATGAACATTGAGAACCAATCCTCAGATCTCAGCCTTCTGAATATCTAGGATTACAGGTGTGAACTACCTACACCCTATCTAAATGATTCAGAATCAAATTACTGGCTCTACCCTCATCCTCCTTCAACTCAGGTAAGATCTACTTGTTTCATGGCCATGTGCAAATGATTTATTGCTGAAAAGAAATCCCATTATAGATACAACCTCACATAAATGTTCTGTGCTCAAAAATGCAAAATGAACCTAATATAGACCTAGGAGATCTCCCATTACTTAGGTTTTCCCAGAAGTTAACACTGGACAATTGAAGACAACATGTTTTTTGCTTACTCCCCATTTGAGGTTTTTCTTTAGCAAGATGTAAGATTGGGAATTAGAAATGTGCATCTATCTGTGTAAATACCTAAGGCTGGATATTAAAAGGAAAACAGCAAGTAATGATTAGGTCCAGTGCTGTGTGAAGTTATTACAAGTTTAGTGAGAGATCTAAGAACCAGAAAGAGGATGCTGAGCTGGTCAGGCCTTACCTACATGTAAAGGAGCTTGTACTTTGGGCTATTTATCCTTTAAAGTTGTTTCCTAAGCTTTAATCTTCTCATGTCTTAATGTCAGCTGGTGTTTCTTACACAACTTTGGTAAAGTGGTGCTTTGGAGGGATGTATTTATATTATAATGGTCAACATTTGGTCATCCCTCCTCTCTTCCACTCCCCCCCTTTTTTATTTCTGTTGGTCATGGGGCTTGAACTCTGGGCTTGGGCACTATCCCTACCCCCTTCAGCTCAAGGTGAGCACTCTACCACTTGAGCCACAGCACCACTTCCAGTTTTCTAGTGGTTTATTGGAGATAAGAGTCTCCCAGGCAGGAGGACTTTCCTGCCAGGGGTTGGCTTTGAACCATGATCCTCAGATCTAAGCCTCCGGTGTAGCTAGGATTGGAGGTGTGAGCCATCAGCACCCAGATCACTCCCCTCTTTTTGTAAAGTAAGTGCTTTAATTATTTAAAAAAAAAAACCTTTGTATAAACTTTTTCATTATTACAATAAGCTGAATTGTAATAAAT